CACTTTTTTGACACTATAGAGGTCTGCAGCATGAGGAGAAAGGAAAGGAAATCCCAATGCTACTGGTGCTGGATACAGAAGTATACCATTGAATCATGGCCTGTTTGTCTAACATTGTTTCAGTCTGGTCAACAGAACAACTCTTTGGTGGGAAGATCCTGTAGAAGAGGAACCATTGCTTCCTAAACCTGGATGGTTTACCATGATTACAGCAGAAAGTGGGGATGGCCTCAGTATCCGTAGCCACAGAAGTAGGTGTTGCCATGGCTTTATTCTCCTATTGATATCAAACTGGCTTAGTTTCCCAGCACTGTTTATGAACATAGAGGAATGGGAGTGCTTAGGATTCTGTGGACACAACATGGCCCGCTATCAGCAGGAACGACGTTCTGTGGGCACAACTATCAGCAGGAACAGTGCTGTCAGCATTTCTCTGCCTACAGGAAGCTTTATGGCCACAGGGCAGAAGCAGTGATCTTGCTGGCTGGGGGATTCTGGCAGTTGTAGTCCAAAAGGCAACTTTCATAAATTCTGGAGAAGAAGTCCCATTCTAGCATCTGGCAGCAATGTAGCAGTTCCAGAGGATCCAAGGCACCTACACAGCCAGCTCTGGATATTTTTACATTCATGCCAACAATAAAATGTTGTATATACTGTATTTTTTAAAATTTACTATCTCACTAAACTTAGCATTTTTATTGGGGGGCAGGGGGATATAGGGTAGAAACACCTCTCACAGAAAGTGGCATCAGCATATGTGCCTCAGCTACTAATATAGGTCAAGGTTTCCTATTTAGGTATATACAATGGGAGCTGTTGAAATAGCATGATAACATTTCCTGCAAAACTTGTTACTATGCATAGTTAAAAAACCAAGCTCTTTCATGTTGGGAAATATTTCTAAAAAGACATAAATGTTCCATTTTCCATATAGGTAATTAAAAGTAGTTCATAGCATATGAGATGAGATAAAGGAGACTCAAAAATATGTAAAGATAGTATTGCAAATTAAAGATTTGGTTTGGAAAGGAAACTGGATTAAAATGTTTTAAATCTGCACATTACTAATTTACAATTCTTTTATTAAGGTAGCCATAAAACTGTTAGGATAATATCAATCTTGCATGTACTAATACTGGGCATCAGTGAAAGGGGCTTTACAGCCTAATGTGATTGCCCTTGTAACTACTTTAACTTGACTAGTAAATTTCTTTTCCCAGTTCTGGCATTTGAAACAAGCCCCCCCCCCATTTGTTTGCTTGCTTCCATGGTTTGGCTGTTGATAGCTTATTCTTTCTGCTCTTTATCAAAGAAACAAGCATGTAGGGTTCTCCATGGATGGAGATTCCATTTCTTCCCTTTTTTTCCTGATTGTTACTACAGCTGGTAACTCCAGGTAAAGATATCTACCTTAAATGTTTCTAAAGTGATTTTATCATACAAAGCACTAGTCTGGGTGCAAAAGAAAACCATGTGTGTTTGTGTGTTGATGGGACTGAGCTGATCTCTCCACAATTCTCTGCTGTTGTTCTTTTTCTACCTCATACTCTGCTAACTAAAAACAACAATTGAAATTCCCTAATAAAATGGAGGCATTTAAAATTACACCTGTACTAACACTAATTGTCTAGCTGCATTCAAGACTTTTCAGATGATTATGTTTCACAGTACTAACCAAGAAGAGATTAAACTTCCAACTTGATTTGTTTCACTTTAAATAAATGTGGTAATTGACTGGCACCCTAGAGCATGTATATAACTTTCTGATTCCTTATAATAGAATTCAAGTAAGAATGAGAGGTATAATTGGTAACAATAAATTAATTATATAGTAAATCATAGTAGAATAACAGGTGAGGATAATATTTCAAATGTGTCATTGAGGCTGCAATCCTAAATATCTTAGCTGAGGAATAGGCTCCACAGCAATCAGCCAAATGTCAATCAAACCAGACTTATATAAGATCAGTCCAGAAAGCTGATGGCATGTCATTAATTTAATATTTTACAGTGCCAAATGTAGGCTGACGTGACGTACAGCAAAGGGATGATGTAACTGATTTTGCAGGATGTCCTGAGGCCAGTTCTTCAAAGAGTTTTGACTGTTTAATCATACAACTCTTGAGAGTTGCAGTAGTTGGTTACAACGGTGTGGGCAACACTGTGAAATTTACTATTCATTTTCATCATAATAACCAAGATAATATCAAGTACCAATTGGCATGTTAATACATATAGTATACTATGAAAACACTTGCCAATAAAGACATAGCTGATTTAGGTACATTACAATCTAAATTAAACTGTGAGAGATGGCCTGCTTTCTAGCTTCATCTGCACTGTGAATGTTGTCTATTAGCCAGAGTTGGAACTAAACAGTTTGAGGTAACATAGTTACCTTTGACTAGTCACTGTAATGAGGATGTAGCTAAGTTGCATTTCAAAAGTAGCATAATGAGCATTTACAAAGTTACTTTTTAATGTAATGAGCATTGTTTTTTGTTTCATTCAAACTCATTTTTAAAGGTCACACTAAGTATTTTGTGGATGCATTGTGAGAAGAAATGTTCAAGTTTGATCATTTGTAAGTATCAAGGGAAGTATTGATTTGTTTTGTATTTTTGTTAGATTTTTGTTGGGGGGAGGGGCAATTGTAAACTCCTCCTCGAATATCTTATGTACCACAAAACCTCTATTATGGTCACCACAAGTGGAAAGCAACTTAATGGCACGTAATAAAAAAAGTCTTTTCCAGGTGCACAATGAGAATTGGCCACTAAAGGAAACCAGACGGTATTTCTCTGTATTTGTCTGATCACTGATAAGCCCGATGCATTGAAGTGATAATACACAATGCAATGAGCTGCTTTCATGAATGAGCAACACAATGTGTTCTTTTTAAAAAATAATGTTCCAACTTCTACCAATATTTTGTTTAGTAACGTAGGCTGTAGTTTGTTGTCTTCCTGTGTGTCATCAGTGTGGAATATTTGTGGTTATTGTTATTGTGATTATTGTTATTTTAAGTTTTTTAAATTTGCTGTTTAGTTGCACTTTGTAATATCTGTTTGTTGCTCTTTTGTGTTGTAAACTGTTCAGAGTGGCTGTAGGCCAGATGGGTAGGATATAAATAGAATGAACAAACAAGCAAACAAATTATGGACAATTGGTGGATATAGTGACCAGGCAGGCATGAAACTCACTAGACTAGATGACTTTGGACCAGTCACAGTCTCTTAGAGTTGCTGTGAGGACAAAGTGAAATGGCCTTGAGTTCATGGGAAGAAGGCTGGAAGGTACATCTAATTAAGAAACAAAGATATAGACATGTATACAAATTGGGAATTCACAAGGCTTTTTGTGCATTTTGGTGCTAGTCCATAGACTAACATGGGAACAATGCTGATATGGAGAAGTAGCTTGGCATGGAATCTCCCTGTACTATCTTAGGCTTCTCACATTAGCTAGTGGTACAGATTCCTGCTGCAGGTAGGGCTATTGATATGACCTTCACAAATTCCTGTGTGAAATGACCTGATCTGGATCTCCAATATATGTCTAAATGCACGTATTGAAGCATATTTCTAATTTACGGATTAACAAAGCAACACAACAATGGGTAACAAGTGGCATGGACAGAAGAGGACATATTTCTACTTCTGCAGCTACAGTGGCTCCCACATCTTGAAAAGGAATGACAAAAATGCTATGATTTCATGGGGACATAGCTGTGATCTCTATGGCATTTCCTTCCTGATCCAGCATCAGTTATGACTTGAGGAGGCTGCATGGCAATGTTGAGATCAAAAAGAGCATGCAGTGGTCCAGTAATCCTGCACAAACACCTGTGCTAACTCACTCAGATCCAAGCAGGATCAATCCTAAGTAGAATTGCCACCACCTTTTACTGGAGCAAAATTTGAAATGAATTAGGAAGATTCTGCTCTCATGGAACATTGGCAGGTGTTTAGGGAAGATTTTAAAAAACAGGATTATTTCTCAGCACACATATGATATTCTGTATACTTTGAGAAAAAAACACATCAGCATGCATGCATGGCAGTAGGGCCTGCTTAGCAACATGGAAAGCTCAGCTCAAATTAGAGCTGTAAATCCTTGCTTGCCTCTTTTTCAGAGTTGAAGAATTGCAATGTTTTTAATTGCTTTACAAAAGAGAATGATGTGTTGCTGACTGACTACATTGTGTAATGGATGTACGTTACAAGGGGTATGATCTCATGGGGAAATAGATCACAATTTGGACCAATTGTGGAATGGTCTAGTGTGATCTATATCCCCAAAATCACATGACATATGGAGAAATATGCTCCAGCCCAACACTGATTCGTACCCAAGTGGGATTTCTTTGGTCCAACTGTAGAGCTTCTACATTTTGGTAGCTGAGTTGGAATGATTCTTTGGGGGACAGAAGAGTTGATTTAAAGGAGATCACTCTCATTAAAGTGAACCTTTCCAGTGCATGCAGGTTATTACACAACTTGTGCAAATTGAAATATCTTCCTTGTTGCACACATGATTAAAAATTAAAAAAGCATCTAAATGTATTGTCTGCTTCTTTTTAACAGCAGAGCAGTCTTTCTGGCTTGTTCTTGTTCCTTCTCAGTCCCCCTCTCTTCATGTTTGCTTTTTAAAGGAAAAGAAAACTTGATAGCAGGGAAGTGCACCTTGCATTGGAGGCAAGAAATCTTGCAGGACTTGGCAATTTCTTATCAAGCTATCTCATCATGTCAAAATGGCATGAATCAAGTAGAATGAGGAATTCAGCAGTATGTTCACATTTCTAGCTCAAATCCCTGATCAGAAAAATGGGGTGTGTGAACTCTGTCCATTGCCTGATCAGGTTGAAAGCTTCAACCAGAACAGAAAATGAGGTAAACCAATACAACTTCTGCTGCATTTGCTTCTCTGGACTTTATGAGTTTAGGAGATTATGCAATGAAGCAGGCAAAACTAAATCATAAACCGTTTTGTACAATTACCTGGATCTGTAGCGGACATCAGAGAACCAAATAATAAACAGTCGGTGAAATGGAAGTCGCCGTTCTTCAGCTGATTAACATGGACCATCGCCTTTACAAAGCCATACATAATCACCCTGCAGGATTGGGAAGGGGAAAAAACCTATTGAAAACCTTTATAAAAATTTCTGTTTCTTCTTTCTTCAACATTTGTTTTTCTGTTTAAACTGTGAGAATTTAGCCTTCAAATTTTTTTGTAGCTCATGTTATAGCAGTATAGAGAATAAATGGCTGCTGTCATGCAAATCTAGTTCTGTTTTAGCCTTGAAATGCTGTATCAAAAGTTTGTAGACATGGAAGGAGGAAAACAAAACGAAGCTGACCTTTTCAAGTGAACATTATTATTTATTCATTTGGTGGCAGATGACAATATATTCAGACATTTAGTCTACAGCAATAATACAAAGTGAGTTAAAGAAGAGATTACCATAGTTTGTCAAATAATATACAGCCTTTATGTAACTGGAGTTAAATGAGATGTATTGTTGACTAGTTCCATCTGACACCAGTAAAAGGATTGCTTTCACAATGGTCATAGTTTGCTGGGTTTATTTGTTTATTTGTGTTAAATTTGACACACATAAACCTGGCTGGATACAGATTCACTTCCTTTTGCTTTTTTGGTGGGTTGGTGAGCTCATTCATCTCAGCAAAGCCCCCAAAAATTGTTGGATTTCAGATTTAAGTCAAATGGATAAATAACCACCCAGAAACCTTTGGGTAGTGTGGGCGGTAAATAAGTTAAATAAATAAATAACCCTAACAACACCTCACCTAATTCTTTCCTTGCAAAACATTGCAAGTCCTCACAACACTAAAATCTTCTCCTTAGAGTGATCACGTTTCTTTTTTCTGAAGAGTTCTGTTTCAAAGACAGTCTCTTGAAGAACCATCTAGTCTTAAATCCGGTTTCAAAAATTAAGAACCAAAAAAGAGGATTGTGAGGGTCTTGAAGATGCCATCAACAGGTAAATTAGCACCTGGATGGACAGCAGGGTCTGCAGGGACACAGGTACAGTCTTCTCCACTGCAACGAGATGTATTGTGTTCCAATTCAAATTACAGTAATTATCTTAAAACATCATCTATACATACAAATTAGTCTATGCATGTTTTGTGCAAATTGGTACTTTCTTTTTAAAATGATTTTTTAAAAATGTTCTTCTTTTTTGGTGGCATGCAAATGGCCACTTCCTCCTCCCCTCCCAACATATTATTATTAATAATTACTAGTTATTTTGTGAAGTCTGCTACCAGTTTGTAGTGCCAATGCAGAAGAATGGTAAGGAGGCCTAGTGTAGCAGGCACCAATATTCATCTCTGTGCCCAATGCTTGTAAAATGCCCAAGTAACTGCCAAATACTGATAAGATATTGGAGATTACGAGAGGTTGCTTGGGGAAGACTTCAAGTACTAACAGAAGCCAGTCTTATCTAAGCCAAGTACCAAATTCTTTATTCCACATATTTTGGGTGAGGAGTTTGAAAAGTGATAAGCACACCCAGGTGGGGTAATTCCAGCAGGAGTTATGCTTGGATGTCCCACTCTGACATCCTTTGATGTCTGGCTTTGTCATCTGCTTGATCATCTGTGAGATGCTTAGCTATCAATTTGCCAATAAGTGAACTATAAATATCAGAGAAGTTGGCCGTACAGAAATGTGCTTAATAAACAAGTGTAATATCTGAAAAGGTATTTAAGAGCTAGAATATTGACCATTGCTAAGGCTTGGTATAGAGCAGACTCCTCAGAAATGCTGAACAACAACTGTCATCCAGGAAAGTCATCCACCAGCGTTCTTCAGGGTTTCCCAGAGTGTATAAGGAGTGTAAGGAATCTCTCTACTTCATTATTTTACTACTCGTGGTTTTTTTGCTTTATTGTATTTTGTCTCCTTAATAAAGTGTTGTGTCTTTTCCTCCATGGATGTGTTCATTGTCACTGAATTCCAAAAGAGCCCTTGTCAGCCTTGAGGAGACACAACCATCACTAGCAAGCAGCAACAAAGCAGAATCAAAATACAGTTCTGTAAAATCTCAGTGATAGCAATGGGAATGGGAATATAAGATGAAAACAACTTAGAAGTCTATATACTTGCCTCTGTATATCAAAAATGTTTGTGTGAGAGTGTGTGTGCATGTGTGCATGCACACGTTTGTGTGCACATGGGACTGCAATACAAACTAAAACTGGGAGCTGAATTTTTGCAGCTGAAGACAATCATTGCACTTAAAGCAAGCTGCTCTTTTTAAAGCCGCAAAGGAAAGCCATAAAATAAAACTGAATAGAAATCTTGGTCTAAATAAAGATCTGTTCCGTGTACAACAAACTATGTTCCATGTTCCTCACCTAAATCTATTTATCGATTTGTATGTCAAGGAGAGGTATTTTCCATTGTTAAATAGTGTCTTCTTATTGTAATGTTCCTGAATACAATAATGAATGCAGATTGTATTGAATTAAGTTTTAAACACACACTTCTGTGTCACAAAAATGCTATAGTAATGTCTGAAACTGGAAGGCAAATCTTATTCACCCCATCTATTTTCTAATCCATTTTTGGATTCTCACCTCCTAATATGCCCTCAGGGATCCATTTTGCCTAGCCATGATTATATTGTCGCCAAAGGCGGGCTGATGGTTGCTACTGGGTGAAAACATGCAATCAAATATAATGAAACGTTCTTAGTTCTGTTCGTTTGTTATCTCAGGACAGAGCAAATGGATTACAGTAACAATGGAGAAATATAGGAAGAGTAACTCCTCCTGTGCTGTGGATTAAATCACAGCAAGTTTATAATATCAAAATCATGGTCCATCCTTGGTCTAATTAGAATTCAACCTTGTTTTCTTCACTTAGTCTTGGAAAGTCTGAAGTACAGTAATAATTTGGGGGAAGTGCCCTTGAGAATCTAAAGAGTGCATGTAAGATGTGCTGCTAAAAATGATGCAAATCATACATAATAGAGCTTGGAATATTTGTCTAGCTGCTACAGAGTCTGAATATAACGTAATGTGATGGGCATAAGGGCTAAGGGAAGGATGTGTTCTTATCATGAGTAGTCTGGAGGTCAGGTCGTAGATCAGAGAGGTAGGAACTGAGGAGCAGAGGGAGGAGATTTTGTGGTATACTGCAAGTCATATACAAGATCCCACGAAGAGGAATAGAAAAGCAAAAGCAGGAGAGGTAATCACAAACAGGCTAGAAGTCAGCTACTCAGCTGGAGAAATAAAATGAAACTGGGCATCTGAGTGTGTTGTTATCTCTTGGAACGTGCCACAATTTGCTCAGTTGCTCCAGCTGTCAAACCAGCCTAAGGTTTTATAACACCTCATGTTCCTCCATGGGACTACAAGGTCACCTGATCATCATCATCATCTTAAGCTGACAGCACCCAAGCCAGCAATGCAACTGCAGTCTAGAGCATTAGAAACAAGAAGTTCTCAACATTTGGTATCTCAAGAGCCACAAAACATTCTGTCAAAAGAACCTGAATTCAACCATAATAAAAATTGTTGTATTCAGGCAGGCCATTTCTAAAGCATATCCCATTATCTTCTTGTTCAGTAATTCATTGTGCATTAAAGAAGGGTTGGAAAGTACATTTATTGCCTGTCTCTAGCCTTAGAGCAGGTCAGTTATCTCCCACAGTGAGTACCCACCTCATACCCACTGAAGTTGGGAAGCAAATACTAAAGTCACCTTCTGAAAATGATGTGTTAATGTTAATGTGTTCATAGCCCCATCTCTTCTTGTGTATCAACTACTGACTCGGCATCAGGCACCTTTCTATACAGTATTCCTGTTGGGGCAAGCTCCTCATGAATCTTTACTATCCATGAGCAATTTTTCTTTACAGGTCTTCCTGTCAGACCAATGCTGGTTTCAGTACCCCTGGAAACCCTCCACAGAATTTCACAGAAAACAAAACAGCCTTGTCCTTTTGTGAAAGAACCACATTTTGCATCTAAGATGCCAACTGTGACGGTAGCGATGATGTCATCTGCCTGTCATTGCTGTGGCTGGAGTTTATCTGCCTATAGCATGACGGGAGGTGGGACTTCAGAGGGTGGAGCCATGGTATTTAAGGGGGGAGTGAATGAGGTGTGAGTCAGATAGGGCTTGGATAGGGTCTGGTAGGGACTTAGGGAGTTAGGGCTTGTATATGTTATAAAGTACTGTGTTAGTGAAGGTCTGAGAGAGAGTGTGTATGAGGGGATAATTTATTATTACTGATTGCCTTTTTATTTTAGTTGATAAAGTGATTTACCATTCCTTCTGTTGTTATCAATAAAATACAAGTTTTTATTTTAAAAGCCATTTATTTGCCTGAAGAGTCTCTTATGAAGGAATGGTTGGTGGCAGCGTAAACAAAGTGCGTGTATGTAAGAGTGACGTGACGCCTCCTTTGTGACGTGAGAGGAGGCCGTCACACCAACTTTATTACATGTTTCTGCCTTCCTCCGTGCAACACTCATTACATACATTTGGAAACATTTTGGGTTAAATATGTGAAAGCTAATTTATACTAGACCCTGACCATCACTTTAAAAATGTGTAATGCTGTATGCCCCTAATAAACAAAACACACTGAAGAACATGGTGTTCCAGAGTTCAGATTGTCATTCATAATTATAATTACAGCATATACATAGAACCTGAATATCCACTGTGAAGAATATGCACTTGATCTTTGCATAATGACTCAAATCTAATAATTACTAAGACAAATGAGGCATGAAACACTATCAAATGCAGACAGTTCAAAATATAGTGTCACTAAATATTTCATCTTGCTGCAAGCCATTTAAATGTTAAATCAAAGCCTACCTTAGTTACAGATAAGAGTTTTGGGGAAAAAACAACCAATGGCATATATAGATGGGCTGAATCAACGTGAATAGATAAATAAATATCATACAGACCAGTGAACAACCTAATGAAATTAATCAGAGCCTGTGATCAAAGTTTGGACTGTGACCTGAGTGATTAATAATCCATTTGCAAAGGCTCATACAGTGAAAGAACAAATAATAAGAGGTTTTAAAAAGCGTTTCAAAACCGTAAAAATCTTGG